TTGAGGCAGGGCAGGATTATACCCTGTGCCAAAGAGGCACTCACTGCTCCCTTACCCACTTAGCCAGCCTCCCTCTGGATGCTTTTATAATCAAGGGCATGGATCCAGAAAACAGGTGGTAGCTCTCACTTTGCCAAGGATCCTGTCCGCCTCCTAAGGTTCCACAAACTTAAATAAATCTATTAAAACTGAGAAAGCAGAAGTCAAAGTTACCTATGCAGAACTTGCATCAACCCAAAATCAAAGTCAGAGCTAATCTGAGTTATTTTATCTGCAAAGAATTGTGCAAATTGTTTACAATGGACTGTTAATTAGTCAATGTTCTCTTCTTGCAGGCAAGATCATACCACTATGATCCTGACTACTAGAATTTTCCCCACTGAAATCTATTGCATTTAATGTGTAAACTTTTGGCTGGGTTCTTCCCTAACCCTTTCAAAGATCAGTAACTGCAGAATAAATAAGCATGTAGAAGTTACTATTTTTACACTAGGAATCTGCAAGATACAAAAATTCAAGAGAAATGTTATTAACAGAACATCTCTATAACATTAAACAAATCCACATTCTACACCCACGAAAGACATCCAAATATAAGAAAGCTGTTTCATCTGTCATACAGTATTTGAAGACTTTATAGGTCTTTATGGAAAGCCTTGTAGCCTTTAGACTATTTTACAAAATGTCAGTCCATAAGAGGGCAAAAAATACAAATATTTATTTAGCAAATCTGTTTCCATCCAAAAGATGGCAGTGGCAGATCAATCATCAGTCTGTATATTTTAAAAACTAGTGGGTGAAATGGAAAATGCAAGAAAAGAGAACCTCTCCTTGCACAAAATAAATTACTGCTGCTTGCAAAATAATAATATTCTGACTTTTGCCTAAAGCAGTGTGGTAAAAGAATTGACTGTTGTCACAATCTGTCACTATCAAATGATATGCAAATACAGAAAATCAATCTCAGTAAAAGATTTAACTGAGAAAGGTCATCAGTCACTCAGAATTTGAAAAACCATTGTCACTTTAAGTATAATGGTAAAGAAAAATCCAAACTTGAAAATCAACCAATATCTTTTAAAAATTAGACTAAATTTACCATTAAGGTTACCAGATTAATATCAACTAATGTTCATGACCAAAAATCATCACGCAAACATGATTTATTTCTTCTTCTAGACAACTTTTTCCTATCTGTAGAACTATAAAACGTACAGGAACTACAATACACATGTCTTGCAATTAGTTTATGCCCTCTGTAACATTTGATGTGCCTAGACTTTTTATCTCACCCTTCACAGCAGGATAACCCACAGAAATTTGGCAAATTAATTTTTTTTTCATTGAACTCCAGGCAATGAAAAAACTGTCTACTAAATGTAAGCACACAGTTTATTACAAGTATAATATTTATTAACACAACAATGACTCAAGAAGCAAAGTATAGAACAAAAATAAAACTGACAGCAAAGATAAAACATTTCAGCATATAAAACCAAATTAAAACTAGCAGCAGCATTATAAAAGTGCAAAGTTTGGAACATAATGCCTAGCAGGACAGAGAGGCACTAAAAAGTTTTAGCACCAGTGCGAGGCTGAACAAGCCTCCTTATAGCTACCCACCTTGCCATATGTGAGAGGAACAACTAGAAAATGTGAAGATGTAGCACTGGACATCAAGACCAAGGTTAACCTTACCATGGTATTCAAAGTCAAGGAAGGTGACAAGAAAAACATGGATTCATTTGTAATGTGGCATTGAAGGAGAGCTTTACAGATACCGTGGATTGCCAGAAAGAAAAATAAGTGGGCTCTAGATAAAATTAAGCTTGAACTTTCACTAGAAATTGAAATAACTACATTGGTATGATACTTTAGCTTTAGTGTGAGAAAAGACTAATTGGAAAAAACAATGATCAGAATCTTACTGATTTGTGCCTGTTTAAGGAACATCTGGACAGCTCAGTAGATTAGATACTTGGCTGTGGAATATGGAGTTAAGAGTTCAAATCCCCATTGTGCCTCCTTGAGAGGGGCTGCACTCATTAACTCATTAATTTTCTAGGTAGAGAGCATTCAGAATTGGTTTACCATTCCCTTCTTCTGGGGGCATCCTAGGACTGTGAAGTTTGCCCAAAGCCACATAGACTGGCTCTTTTGGGATGCACAGTGAAGAAATGAATCCCCAACTTCAGAATCTGCAGCCAAATACCTAATCCCATGAGCTATTCAGCTTCTTCAGCTCTAAGACTGTTATTAAGTATGCAACTACACTGTGGAGAAAATATAACTGGCTCTGCTGTGATCCACATTTTTAAAAAGGCCTCAGCAGAGCATTATACTGTAGGATTGCCAGGAGTCTAGGGATGTGGTTCTGCTGCAGGTCAAACCGCAGAAGCCTCTGTGCTGCAAGGTCAGAATACGAGCAGTCGTAAGATCGAATTCACGCAATGGAGTGAGCTCCCGTTGCTTGTCCCAGCTCCTGCCAACCTAGCAGTTCAAAAGCATGTAAAAATGTGAGTAGATAAATAGGTACCACCACAGTGGGAAGGTAACGGCATTCCGTGTCTAGTCGCGCTGGCCACATGACCATGGAAACTGTCTACGGACAAACAGTGGCTCTACAGCTTGGAAAACGGGGATGAGTCATACACAACTGGACTAAATGTCATGGGGAACCTTTACCTTTACCTGCCATGAGTCTAAACCACTGGTTCCCAACCTTTTTTGCAAACCCTTTTTATAACAGCCAAGTAACCCCCTAACATATTTGCATAAAAAGTTATTTTTAATTAGATAAAGACATCCCTTCTCTGAAAGTAGAGGTTCCTTTCTTCCCCAAAGGGCCTGTTTCTCATACATATGTGCTAATTTTAATATCCCACCCTGACAGGTCAAGGAAGAAATTATTTAACAAGGACTGCCACACATATAAGGCAAACCCCACCCCATGGAGGTTTGGTAAATTATTTAACAAGGACTGCAACACATATAAGGCAACTTGCAACCTGCAAACCCCACCCTATGCAGGTTTGGGAAACACTAGTCTAAAGCAACCTGACAGCAGATATTAACATGCTGTTAAGAGTTATCATTCTCATTGTACACTTCCAGAAGGACTGGAAACTCAAGACTGTGTACATGTAAACAGCAGCAAGCAAACAAATACTGCAACAATAAACTAAGTCAAGGCCAGAAAATTTCCTACTTTTCTTTTCTGGTCTGTAAAATTCTATCAACAACTGTGTACATCAAGGAGACTACATTAAAAATGGGTCGAATCCAGTTGCACAGTTGTAGAGACAAATTGTCATATGTTAAAAAATCTCTGTAGACTTTAGCCATTGCACACCAAGTTGCACAATTCAGTGTGCTCAGATGGTAAGGCTTGAACAGCAATTTACTGAATTAGAGGGCAAGCAGCCAGCAAGAATGTCTACTTAAGCAAGTCACTTCCAAAGATGTCGGCCACATAGACTGGCGAAACGTTAGGAAGAACAACCTTCAGAACACGGCCAAAGAACCCAACAAACCCACAACAACCATCACTTCCAAAAGTTACACCATTCGTGTACCTGTGTGAAAGGATGATTACTAGCCAATCCATATTACTTTGTGGACTGCCTAGGAGCAGAAATAAATTATCATCATCCCACACTCCAAACGGGATGATCTCTGTATAGATTTATCTGTCAACAGATAAATCTATGCCCTCTGTGGGAGGGCAGCCACTGTAAAGTCCACAACTACTCCTTACCATTCAGCACTGTTCAAAGTGTCAGATCAGCAGAAAAGTGGGCCGGTGTCAGCCATGCCTCCGTGGAGGGTCACAAGAGCTGCCCAACCACTAATTGTTAGCCCACTTGGCTCCCCTCTGCCAACCCACAGAAGGCAAGGGAGGCCATTTTGCAGAGTAGGGGCTTCTGTAGCTTTATGTACACAGCTGGTCCATAAACCGATTCTTACCACAAACCATCTGGAATCTCGCAGCTTCTCATCCCTACCCACTGTTAGCGGAGAATATTTCGTTACCTTTAAAAGGTATGAGGATCTTAAGCCATTTTTAATACAACCTATCCTCTCCCCTTCCCGGACGAGAAAAGACGTGGGAGACGGGCAGGAGTTTCCAAAACAGGTTCCCTCACGGGTTTCGCCGCCTTCCCGCCTGCTCGACTACGCCTGCGCGAGACGTACAAACCCCCCCCACACACACACACACCCCAGGAAGCTGAGTGGGGTAGGTAGTGGATGAGGTGAGGGTTTGCCCGTCATCTCTATCCAGGTTTTTTTTTAATGGGGGGGGGACCCCAACCAACATGTCTCTTTGGGCACCAGCTAGCTTTATAGAGCCAAGGGTGAACCCACGACTCGGGCTAAGGGAAGCGGGCTTCTCTCGGCTCCGCCTCCGGCAGCCTTGGCTCTTAGGCGGCGCGCCGGGGGCACTTTGGTTCACACAACGGGGGCCGCCGCCGCCGCCCCCCGGTGCCTGTGCCCGTCGCACGGTTAGAAGCGAAGGCTGCAACTCGCCCCTTAGTTTCGCCCATGAAACTTCTGCACTGCACTCAATTCACCTCCTTTTCGGACCCCCACACGCACACTCGTCGTGGGCGAGCAACGTGAGAACGCCCCTCCTTTGCACACTTGCAGGTTTTTTAAACCCCCTTTCACCCCGCTCAAGGGCCAGACCACCGACCACCTCCGGGGCCGAAGGACCCTCTGGCTCTTGAACTCCAACGCCATAGCGGAAATCCCGTAGTTTGGGGTTTTACACACACATACACACATACACACACACACACACTTCTTTTTATAAAAGTGCTCTCCGCAGTGTGAGCCATGCCCCTTACGAAAGCCCTGGGCTCCGCACTGAAAAACAGCGGTAGCCCAGCAAGCGGTCCTCGGAAGGATCCACCTTAGTCTCTGTCGGGTTCTTACCTCCCAATACAGACGTTACGGACCACGGGTCAAACCACGCTAACTATATACACACACACACTCACTTTAATACTTCGTAAGCCTCTTCCCCTTTCCCTGAAGAATAAGCATGTCGAGGGTAAAGCTCCAGAACCTCCCTCCGTAGCTGCTTCACGCCTGCAAACGGCAACCTTCTGTCCTGTCCTGTCCTGTACTTCCCCCGCAGCCTCCTTCCTGCTTCGGCCCCGACCTCTTCTCCCGCCAGACTCGCCCCCTCGCTGCCTCCCGCCCAGCTTTTCAAACTCCAGGCGGACACCCTCGGAGCAAAGCGCTTCGAAAAGCCGGCGGGACCCAAGAGCGGCAGCCCTGGCGGCCAATGAGCGCCCAGCAAAACGACCGGTCCTTCCACCACCACCACCCCCCGCTCCACAGCATCCAATCGAGGACGTGGGTTGTGGGGTGGGGGGTGGGAATTCCACGCCGTAGTCTTAACCCTTTGCGTTCTGGAAGTGGGAATCAAAGGGCAAGAGTTTGTGAAGGAGGGAGGTCGGGGAGAGGCTTGGAAGGGAAGGGTGGGCAACAGCACGCGGAACCAGCCTCGGGTTGTCTGAAGCCGCCTCCTCCTCCTTCTGCCTGATGGCAGGGCCAACGCGGGTCAATTTCCTCTTGCTGGGGTTCCATAACAGCGAATAGCGGGGGAAGATTGTTGCCGCCTTCATGCCCTACTATTGAATTCTTAGTCGTCGACTGGCTGCTGTTGGAAAAAAAAAGACTTATTTAAATGTGTACAAGGGTTTTTGCCCTTAAATCAATCCATCAGTACTGCCTTAATGAGCGTCCATAGATGTGAGCCTTATGCAACCATCCAGAGTCCCTTCCCCCCCCCCTTACTAAGCTGCCGTCTCCACATTATTTTATTTTATTTTAACATCTAATATATTGAGCTTACAATATCCACTGCCAGAGGTCCTGGTGGTGACAGGGTTAGCCTCCGATCTCCATCCAGCCTTGAGATGCACTGGACTGGGTGATCTTGGGCCAGCCTCCTCCTCTCAACCAGGATTTACTTCTGAAGGTTGTTGAGGGGATAAACGACCCGGGGCGGCCGGGAGGAGTCCGTACATGACAATGCTGACCTCCGTGGGAAAAGAAGAGGCATAACGATAGTGATGAAAATATGATCCTGCCCGGATGACTTTTATTTTCCTTTCTACTTCTACTGATTTCATGTTCCCTTTCACTTCCAAGGTCTCTCAGCCTGATCCTCAGTATGCTTTTCTCCCACTTAGTTCAGTAAGACATACTTCACTCCCAATCGGCTTATGTTTGCGATCTTTTACATAAACGGTGTTCATTTGCATGCTTGTTTTATGGAGTCTCAATACGAATAGTTAGGAGCCTCTCTCCTCCTTCCTTTTTTTAAGGCATGAAAAACGTATGCCTGCAGAAGACCTTGTTCTTTAGAACTGAGGATGCTTTGATATACTATCTGATTTTTTTCATTTTTTCATTTTTTCCAAATTTTAATTTTTAGATTATCAGACTGCAGCATTAATGCGATGTGGCTTGTGATTCCTTGTTATATTGCTCAGAAAGGAGTTCTAGCCAAGAAGAGCTCACTCAAAGCAGGTTGTTTTTCTTACAACTCTTGAAAAACCAGGATGATCTTATGTATATTTATGGACTATGTGAAGTCCAGATATAATAAATATAAATTTGACAGTTCAGTATAATTGTTTAAAAAATACTGAATACAACAGTGCAGTATTCTGTTTTTCAACAAGGCACAATTAGAAGAAAAGTCAGTGCTAACCTACGGTATTTGTATTTAATAATGTTGTTTTTATTTTAAGCACCAATCATTCACATGTCTCAGTCAATTAATTATTAAGAGTGGTATCCAAGAATAAAATCATACTAGTTATATCAGTTATGTTGCCTTGCATTAAAAAATCACTGTGTCAAATAGCTTGGGTGACTTTAACCTGGCAGTAAGTCCACTGTAGCTTTCAGAAGATGTAAGAAATTCTATGTAACTTCTTGGCAGATCTTGAACTAAGCCTAGATTGCAGACAATTGCCTTCATGACACCGAACAAGTGTTTGGAAAAAAATGCTGGATAATTTATTTTTGGTGGATGTCTTCCAAACACTGGAACATTTTCCCTACAAATTAACCATGCATTGTGGATGACTATTCTTTCCTGCAGCAGGTAACTGGATGTGGTCTTCTTGTCACTACTCCTCCCTAATTGCCTACAGGCTGCTATTGAGCAAATGTAGGAGTTTCTTCTGCAAGCTGCTGTCTGCGCAGAGAGCTCTGGAATTCCTAAATTAGAGTACACATGTTCCTTGCTAACTGGAGTCTCTCTGCCAACTTCAAAGAGCTTCTCTTCCTTGCAGAGTTTGGGAGGCCCATAGTGAAATGCTGAAGTGCTCCCGGGGTTCCATCTTTTAATAAGAGATGCACAAGAACTATAGAAATCTAGAGGTTATGAACTCCAGCAAAACACCCTGGCCAATTTGGATTGACTGAAATTAAATGAATTGGACCTGGCAGGTTTCTGACATGTCCTTTCTTACAATTATGGTATGCATTTGTTCCAACACACACTTATTGAAAGAGGCAAAACCTATCAGAGAGAGTTTGGAGCATGCCTCCTCTCACAGGCAATAAATTCCATCCTAAAGGATGCAGAAGGCATGAAATTTATGTGATTTTTCCACCGAAAAGTTTGTAAAATTCTTCATTTTCTTAACATTGTATTTCTGTAAAAATTAAACCCCCAGGAAGAATTAAGCTCTGAATGCTGCCCCCCCTCCCAATTAATTCACTTGGTAGATTCGGACGATTGTCTCTTGCAGTGGATCACACACAAACCATAACTTGCTTTTGTAATGTTGCTGTAATTGAATCAGGGGTACATTACAAACCACTGGGAGGGCCAGTGCTTCCTTGAGACTCATGCAGGCAGATGGGATGGACTGTGCCATTAACAGTAGATTGTTAGGGATGAATAAAATTACGTTGTAGGTTGCACATTGCAAAGAGATAATATATGTTTAAATAATAATATAGGAAAATGAAAGCTCTTGGGCACAGCATTACAATCAGGCCAAAATCTACCCCATGGGTGGGTGGCACAGTCTGTTTCTCTGAATGCAGAAGATAGAGTCATATTATTCCCCTGCTACTGAGGGCTCAGGTAGTTGCTCATCATTAATTCTATGCCACCCATAGAATTAATGATGAGCAATTTACTAGTTATATTTGTTTCACTACATTGGAAGCACATTAAAGGCTTATGTTCTCCCTCCCCACATCAGAAATTAAAATGTATCTTCCTTTCCACCCCCCAAAATATTAATCTACAGTGCATTGTAATTTAATTTTTAATAAGAAGATAGTTACACAGAACTAATTGGATACTAAATTAATGCAGGATGTGTGAGTTTGCATTCATTTTCAAAGGGCCTAAATTACGTAAGGCTGACATTGGATTTAGCCTTGTGTGTTTTTAAGAACTTAACTATGCTGAACAAATACCACGCTTAATACCACAGTTAAAATAAAAATATTTTCTATTGACTATGTGATATGTAGCTAAGTGCGTAAAAGCCCAATATCTTTCTGATGTATTCAATATGTTTTGATTAGCTGGCTGACAGGTGTTACTACTATTTTTGATGGTTCCACCCATATTGCTATGCTTTCATTCCTGTCATATGTCATTGCCTATATCAATAAATTTTAATGGTTCTGTTGTTAAATATAGCACCGCATCAGATCAGTGCTGTTTTCCATCCTCTTTCTTTGGCTTCTGATTATTCTCTGGCTGTCCATGCCCTGTAGCGTATTAGGAGCAGAAAAGTGACAGGAATTAACTGGAAGGGAAGGCCTGCCTATACATCCATGTTTTTAGTTGGTTCTTAAAAGTACCCAGCGAGGGTGCAGCGCG